ATGTATGCGTAACCTTTTTGTTTTATAAATAAGCACGTACTCTACACACCTACTGAATTTTTTTTTTAATTCTACATCTTGCAAATCATTCCTTGTCAGTACACAGAGGTACATTTGGCCTCACTTCTGCCCTCTTTTTTGTGTACGTTATGGTTTTTGCTTCCAGTGCCTTTTAAAAACTGTCATGGACTGTCAGTGTTGTGGAGCTTTGTTTTGAGTGTCTTTTTTTCTGATGATGTGCAAGATTTTTACCCCATTTTAGTTCTGTTAGTATTTTACCATGCCTTGCTTCTTCTGATGAGATTTGCACTTGTCTAATGGCTTTATTTTTCTCTTCTGTTTCTTCCACCAACTTTGCCAGGTTGCTTTTATATCCTTTTGTTATCTTATCTCTTTTTCTGAGGCTTTCATCCATTCTCTGAGTTAGAGAAGGTGTATTTTTATTAATGCATCTATCCTTGTCATCTCCTCAGTGGCATTGTTTTGGGGATATATTTTTTACTCTTAGTTGGTTCCGATCCCTCCCTCCTTTGCCGCGGGAGTTTTGCCCAGGTCCCTCGCTATTTCTTCTCAGGCAATCAGTCAGCTTTAGAAGGGGCTGTGCTTTGTGAGTCAGCTGACATAGTGTTCAGGGAGGAGCTCCGGCTGAGTCTTTTGACTCTGTCTGTTGTACTTCTGGATCTTACCTCTTGTTTCTGAGCACTTTCTCTAATGTTCCGCCTGAGGGCTCGAGCAGTGTGTCTAGCCGTGAAGCCATAACCACACTTCCACATATTGTGATCTAGCATTTTAAACCCTCTTGTTGACCGGGTAGCCTCAGGACTGGCTTAGTGGTTAAGAGCACAGGCTCAGGAGTGAGATGGCTCAGGGTTGTTGTTGTTGTTGTTGTTGTTGTTGTTTTTATGTATTTATTTATTTTTGAGAGAGAGCAGGGAAGGGGCAGACAGAGAGGGAAACACAGAATCCGAAGCAGGCTCCAGATTCTGAGCTGTCAGCACAGAACCCAACACGGGGTTCAAACTCATGAACTGTGAGATCATGACCTGAGCTGAAGTCGGACGCTCAACTGACTGAGCCACCCAGGCGCCCCTTAAATATCTCTTCAAGCACTTAAATATCATGTGGCAACCTTAACACTTATGAAGTATTTGCTGTCATTAACAATGTCTTTTTTTCTCTTCCCAACCATGCTGAGAGATTGCTTTCTGCAAAGATGATGTGTCTGAACATTTTTTTTTTTTTTTTTGGTGTCCCTTTCCACTAGGTAGGGTCAAGTGGGGCCCAGAGTTGTATTCCCAGATGTGCTAGTCTCTGGTGATTAACTGCTTTAAGATAGCTTCTGTGTGATTCGAGTCCTCTGGCCCCTTCCTACCTCTGCTTGTCTCCTCCTGGACCAGGTCTGACTTTCACTGCACTTGGCGGCCCCTTTGAAAACCCAGTAAGCAGTTCAGGCTCGGGACAATTTTCAACATCTTCGAGGATGATTTTCCTTCTGGTTGTTTTCTGTTTGTCTCCAAAAGGAGGGTAAAACAGAGGTCACTTTGCTTCTAAAGATGTTTACAAAGGAGGTTAAAGATTTGACAAAGATTTTAAGGTTTTTTTTTAAAAAAGAATTTGATATTTATGCATTTATTTTTGAGAGGTGGGGAGGGAGGGGCAGAGACAGAGGGAGAGAGAGAGAATCCCAAGCAGGCTCCGTGCTGTCAGCGCAGAGCCCCGTGTGGGGCTCGATCTCACCAACCGTGAGACCATGACCCGAGCTGAAATCAAGGGTCAGACACTTAGCCGACTGAGCCACCCAGGTGCCCCAAGAAACTAAATTTAAATCAGGCAGGTGGTTCTATGCTCCTGGTGCCCCTGTTCTGCTTTATGCTGTCCCTTTTATTGTTCAGACGTTGAACAAATATGAAGTGCGTGCCCGCTACGAGCCAACACCGCTCGAGAGGTGGGGGAGACACCAGCGAATGGCACCCAGTCCAGCTCACGGAGTTTACCGTCTTGTTGGGGAGACAGAAAGGTCACTGGGCATGTCGCTAAATGTAATGAGTACTGTGATATAGGACCACACACTGTGCTACATGGCCCATGATACAGGGCCATGCTCCAGAAGAGAGTGGGGGCCGTGTTGAGATTTCTACCTTCTTAGCCCTGGTGCAGCATTTGCAGGCCCTGCCGGTGGCTTTGTGCTCACTTACCCCAGTGTGAAGGACAAATATCATTCTCTATGCGTGACCGTGTGAGAAAAGGGCTGGAAGGCCCTGCCATAGGATGCGTGCGTGTCCGGGAGGTCTTCCAAAGAAAGTGATATGTAAGCTGGCATTGGAAGATTTCTGGGGTGGGCAGGGAGATGAGATTATACTTTAGCTTTTTCTTCCCATTAGTTACCAAAACAACAAACCACATAGTATCTGGCGGCCTGCAAGACTCAGGACAGATATTAGCAAAAGGGAAGCGGTAGCCAGTTAGTATTGGGGGTGAGTCTGCTCCAACGTCCAGTAGACCCTTCCCTGACCGCCTTTCAGGGCCAGAGCGATTTATTGGTGGCGAACAGATGCCGTCAGCGCGGGAGAGAATCGGCCCACCAAGCTTGCAGCAAGATCACCACTGGAGGGCGGGTGGGAGCTGGGAGAACTGGAAATGAGCAGCGGTGATATGTGGATGTGCCAAACTGAAAGAGCCCAAGGAGCAGGGATTAGGCAGTTTGCCCGCCTGAATATTATACAGACCCCACCTGCATATTTTCACTGCTCCTGAAAGTGCTTGGCCTGCAGTTGCCAAGTGGTTATTGCTGGGCAATCGCATGCGCCTGGGCCTGGCTCTCCGGGATGCCGCAGGTACAAGAGCATCTTCCTGTCTCTGGGCAAGGACACACGACATTCGAAACATGAATGCATGCAACCCTCCTGGCGCCCTTCTCAGGAGAGCCTTTATCAAGGATGATCAGATGCAGGCTGGAAAAACAAGAGGGATTTCCCTCTACAGAGTGATTTAATCTGGGCAAGACCTGGTGCTTAATGTGCACTGTCTCATTTATCCTCTACAACTTGCTGAAGGAGGTGCTGTTAGTATCTCTTTTTCAGGTTAGCTAACTTG